ATCAATACAATATCATCTGCAAATAGCATACACCACGGCACCTCCCCTTGGATGTGGCGCGTCAGTATGTCCATCACCATAGCAAACAAAAAAGGGCTGAGTGCCAACCCCTGATGCGACCCCGTCATAACTAAAAAATGGTTCGAGTCCCCACCTACCGTCCTCACTCGGGTCTTTACTCCATCATACATGTCCTTAATCAACCTAACGTAGGCAATAGATACACCTCTAGCCTCCAAACATCTCCACAAAACTTCCCTCGGAGCTTTATCGTACGCCTTTTTTAAGTCGATGAATACCATATGCAAGTCCTTTTTTCTCTCTCTATACTGCTCCATCAATCTCCTAACAAGGTGGATGGCTTCTGTAGTCGAACGCCCCCGCATAAACCCAAACTGGTTCTCGGCAATAGACACACTCCTCACCATTAGCTCTACTACTCTCTCCCAGACTTTCATAGTATGGCTAAGCAGCTTGATACCCCGATAATTATTGCAATTTTGGATATCACCCTTGTTCTTGTATACAGGAACCATCGTGCTCCACCTCCACTCTCCGGGCATCTTCTTCGTTCTAAAAATGACATTAAATAACCTAGTGAGCCACTCCAAGCCTGCCTTGCTCGCATTCTTCCAAAACTCCACCGGAATTTTATCCGGCCCGGTCGCTATGCCCCTACTCATCTTACGCATAGCCCCCTCAACTTCATCAACTCTAATCCGCCTACAATACCCAAAGTCACAACGACTCCCGGAGAGTTCCAAATCACCCAGTATAATTTTAGTAAGTCCTAGTTAGCAGCTTCTCAAATTGTCCAGTAAGAAGCCAAAAGGAAGTTATATCAGTGCAAAATTCATCAAAATACAATGCAGAAAATCTTATTGTTTACACTTATTTTTTTTGCATTGATATAGTAGTAGTATCACTGTACTCAGGACCAGTTTCCATCTAGAGGAAGATCTAGGATTTGAGTTTTATGGGTTCCTACAACGACCTCAAGTTCATACTACAATAACATATGGGTCCATAGTCAAATATCTATACATATTTGGTGGATTTCTTATGTGTATATGCAAGGTTTAAGCAAAAGCTACTAGGTTCACCTGAATCTATAAGCAACACCGTGGTTCCGCCCCTGTTTCCGTCAACTACAATCTGGTAACAGCATGAAAATGCAATAGTTGGCCGTCCACATGTTTGTGCATCAATACATGAAGCACCAACTGACATGTATGATCTTTTTTTTCCCTCAAGTTCTCAGCTGTTAAGATGACCCCCTTTACAAACCACGTAAAAAAGCCATATTCCTTGGTGCCCTAGGAATCATGTCCAATAGGTATTGGGAGCCTGACTATTTATCACCAGAAAATCTGTGGAAGTATGATTTAACTGAGAGCATCCCACTTCTTTCTCTCTCCAATCTCCATCTCCAAGTGTCCTAGCTAGTAGTGTTGATTCTATTTGTAAAGAAGTCAATCAAACATTGTAATTCGTCTATTTCTCAATCCAGTAGGTTTTCCCTGAATCTCAGCACCCAATGAGCTCCCCATCCCGTTTCCTGCGGATCTGTTGTAATGCCATCCCCCTCTGACTCGAGACTCTATAAATGTTTGGGCACGTGACTTATAAGAACACTAGTATTGGAAGTTTGGAACTTAAATAATAGGAAATGCGTATGACAGAACACAACTGGGATAGAAAGGTTAAAACCCCTTCAGATTCTTTTCCTGTCTGTTAGTTGAAATAGGTTGGGAAATTATTCCGAGGCAGTATTATATCTGTTTAGTTTCTTGCTACTTCAGATCTACAATGTCATGGACTATTGAACATACCTAGTAATTTAATGCTAAAAATGCTTCTTCTGTTTTCCAAGCACCACTTCTTGTGGCTCATATTTGACTTCAATTATAGAGGTATAGTGTCATTCATTCACACAATATCTTTTGCTCGAGGCAACTTGTTGATAGGGAATGTTGATTCCTATCTAGATGATGATTCCATTGCACTACTGGCACACTTTATTAGGGTTAAATACTCTGAAATCATCCCTCCACATGTATCCTGGACAGTATGGTTAAGGAGAAGTGATAGGCTAACTGTTATCCTCGTCTTTTGTAAAGTTCAAATGTCTACAAAACTAGTATTTTTGGTGTAGTAGACAGGCTGTATATGATTCAGATCAAATGTTGGAATTCTTGGATTTCTTGCATTTCTAGCATACCATGCTTTCTTTTGTAACGTTTCAGGCTCTTTCTTGATGTTGTGTTAGCAATAAAATTATAATTTGTCAGTCAATGGAAAACATAGTAGTGTGAAATCATCCAGTGTGATTGAATACAAAACATACGTTTTGCCAGTACCTGTCATTTGTTTGTCGTTCTTCAAAGCTATAAGCAGATCAAGTGTTGCCTACTTCTAGAAGCCACTTCTCACTATCCAAAAAATGAAACCCAAAAGAGCAGGATTCGGAATCACCAGAGAAATACTTTGATTTTTTTTAAGTTAAGAAACAACTCAGAGAATTCTAAGAAAAGATTTACTTAGTCATTTCACAAGAATACCAAAATACTACATATGCAGCTCAAATGGCAAGCACAAACCTGGATTTAAATATTGAATAGCAAGAGCGCAAAGGATTCCTGTGGAAGAAAGAGATCGACACAATTTTTTTGCAGTGAGCTATAGAGCAGATCATTGTGAAGATCTAATATTCCATGTTCCTTTTTTATAAGGAAGCACAAACCTGGGTTTAAAAATTTAATAGCAAGAGTGCAAAGGATCACTATGGAAGAAAGGGAATCGACAGAAAGTTTGCTGTGAGCTGTAGAGCAGATTATTGTGAAGATTTAATATTCCATGCTAAGTAGGGACACTGAGACCATGCATTCAAAACTCTAGAAAGAGAGTACAATTCTCTAAGCTGTGATTGAAATTTTACTGAAACCAGTCTTTAACTGTACGCTTGTAGGAATGGTATCAGTTACCGCATTTTATATGGAAGAGAACTTTCCCATTTCTTAGAATTGATGAATACGAGTTGTATCCAATGAAGTTTCTTATTATTTTTAGATGTTTTATCTTCATTTTTAAACTTCTTTAACCATCATCAGCCATCGATGTTGATGCTACATCTGCCTGATCAGTTGGTGCAATTGTATAACATAGGACAATTGACACCTAATGTCGTTTGATAGCTGCCTCAACTGACTTTTGTTTTTCTCCTTTTCTTGCAACAGAAACCTCTTTTTCATGACTGCAAAACTGTATATTGCCCTATGCCATCAGGAGGACTTTCTTTAATGGATTTGGAACCTGCCTACAAAGTGGAGAACAGAAGAACAGTCGAAGACGTTCAGCATGAATTTTGGCCTCTTAACGAAATAGATCCAGAGAATGCTAAGTTCCCCTGTTGTTTAGTGTGGACTCCTCTACCAGTGGTCTCATGGTTGGCACCTTTCATTGGACATGTAGGAATATGCACAGAGGATGGTACTGCTGTCGGCTTTTCTGGTTCCAACTTTATTAATGTTGATGATTTTGCATTCGGTTCTGTGGCCAAATACCTTCAACTACACAGAAAGCAGGTATAACTTCTTGTGACATGCTCTAAGCCTTTGAATTGTTATTGTTGAATTGTGTGGCCACCACATTTAAAGGTTTAAGTTGTTAGAGAGAACACAACAGACCCTGTGTAATCCCATAAGTTGGGTCTGGGGAGGGTAGTATGTACGTATACCTTACCCCTACCTTTCTAGAAGAGAGGCTGTTTCCGAAAGACCACCCGGCTCAGGAAAAATAAAAGGAAGGGCAGCAGCAATAAGAGAACTCAATTTTAGTTAATTCATTATGTTTTCAGTACGCCCCCTCGTGTGTGAGCTAAACATGTGAATTCGTTTTGATAATGTGTGGCAATGATAATTGAATTCAGGACCTTTGCCTACTCGGATATCATGTTATATTATGTAACTACCTCATCTCAAAGTTTAAATTGTTAGAGAGCATACTGTTTTGTTAATTCATTATATTTTCAACAGTTAGTTGTAGCATTATTCCTGTATTCCACGCACTAACCACTCCTATCTCCCTTAGTGCATTGGCGTTGTATTTTCATTCACATGCTAGACATTGCTTAAGCAATAGAGCTGATTTATCTTACCAATAGAATACTGACAGAATTGTTGAATGTTGAATTCCTTGACAGTGCTGCTTTCCACGAAACCTTGCTGCGCACACATGCAAGCATGGCTATAAACACACAGAGTTTGGGTCTGCAGTTACTTGGGATGATGCCATTCAATCAAGTATCCGTCATTTTGAGCACAAATCGTATAACTTATTCACATGCAACAGCTATTCGTTTCTCGCTAATTGCCTGAACAGGCTCTCTTATGGTGGATCAATGGACTGGAACATGATCAATGTTGGAGCTCTTTTATTGTTCAAAGGACATTGGGTTGACAACATCTCAATCTTGAGATCATTTTCACCTTTTATTCTAGTTGTATGCTTTGGCATTTTCATGGTGGGATTGCCTTTTTTGGTAGCACTATTGGCTTTCTCACTTCTTCTTTTAGCATGGTTTGTTTTTGGTACTTACTGTGTCAAAAATCTGTTGGATTCCTAGATTTCTTGTATCACACCTGCTACAAGATTAAAACTTTTTAAATTCTTGATACGCAGAACTGCATCATGACACTTCTTGTGAACAGAAAGTGTACATTTGATACCCAAATTTCCAGTACCAAATGAAAATTGACAAACAGATGACAAGGTAAATGTGGATTGCTGATTATTAAGCTCTAGTTATTCCTGAAGAGTGGGGAAAGTCTCTTCATTGGAAAACGTTCCTAAATATGTTCTGACCCTGTAATAACCCAAAATATTTTGATAAATGTTATAAAATCTTGAATTATGGTGGATGTCCATAACCATCAAAGGAGTAATGCTCACTACTCTTCTCCATTATCTCCATAACTTTCACTACTATAATACTTATGGAGTTATGATTGTAACTCCATAATCTCCCCATGATCTCAAATGCTTAATGCCATATTCAATGACATATTTCTTCACTCTTCATGCCTATATAAAAGCCTTGTAATAGATGGAAAGAACACACAATTGAAGAAGAAATAAAATCTCTTCCTTCTCTCTATCTCCATTTCTTGTTCATGTTTTACTAAATTACTTTTATTTCATAATACGTTATCAGCACGAATTGCGAAAGAATAAGTAATGCAACCAAGAACATAAGTTCAAAATAAGGTATGCTTATAGGTATTGCAACATGTGTTTGTGTAGATGAAATCTACTTCTTTTGATTTTACCGATTCCCCATTTATAATAACCATGCTCTATTTAACGTACAAATAAGGATGACAATTAAGTGATATATATTTATTATTGAGTGGTTTCTTCTCTAGAATATATTGCTTAATGCCTTAATACTCTTAGTCTGACAACCATGAACCAAATAGAAACCTATCAAGCTAATAAGTAATTTAATGAATGTTTGATATTTGTCATTTTCTCTTTGTGCTTTTCTCACTGTCCAATACCAAAGAAAGAAAACAAAAATATACGCTTACGTGCTCTTACCAAATGAACCCGTGATTTTGGTTTATTAATAGCTCTATCTAATGTTTTATTATTGGTTGATATTAACAAAAAGTGAAAAGGAGTTATATGTTAGCTTGGTGTAGATGAAACAAGGTAGGCCCGTCAGATGCTAATATTTAGTTCATTAAAAAAACTTTAGTGGTTCTATAAGATATGTATATTACGAATATAATAATTACTATATCCTAGAGTTTCCATGAAATTAAATTTCAAACATGTTAGAGCTAAATACTGTTAATCCGGAAAAGGTGATTTTCTAACTCATAATACTTATGTCACATAATCATGTTGGATTGAGATTTTACTTTTCAATTTTTGTTTGGCTTTCTAATATGATTCTATTGCTTCTTTGAGAAGGAAATAAAAAACTTTTTAGAGTGAAAAACTATACACTTAGTTTTCTATTTTGACAAAGGCAATATATTACGTTAATTTTTTGCTTTGGGCACATGAAAATAATGTCAATTATATTATGATCCATACTAATTAATTAGATGCACATATAGTCTATCTAGGTTGATTATTTTTCGAAAATCATCTTTAAAAAAAAATAATAACAATTTTGGGTGACCAATAGCATTTGATGTGCTTTAACATCTTGATTAAGTTATTAGGTTATATGGATACCCACTAATTGGCTTTCTCTTCTAATAATATAGTTCATATGCTGCATCAAATTAAATATGTGATAAAGTGATGCAAATTCTTAAATTTTATTTATCACTAGACGAGTTTATATTTATAACCATTAAAATGGGTAATACTTAAAAGTTGTATGATGACGGAATACTGTGATAACATTGATTAAGGGTAAGATGGTGGGTTTAAGTCCCAGCACACCATGAGAGTAAGACATCGAGTTCGAGTCCTGATGCTCAATGATGATAAGATTTGGGTTTGAGTCCCAATTTATTATGGCCTAACATGCCTTTATATTGGTAAGGTATTGAGTTTAAGTCTCAATATACCATATTCATGATATAATGGTGACTAAATAAACATAATATATTTTTCATGAAAAAGCATGAAGTCCCACTTGATTTGCTCCATTCTTGAAGTGAATGTGGTAGCGGTGCATAATAAGTCTAAATGAAGATAAGTGATTGACCAATGAACGTGGGGGTGCCAAACAAATGAAAAAATAATAATAGTTATCATTATGGTCATTATAAAAAGGGAGAACAATAATGGTTCTCAAAATATATCCTTCAAAAGGTGAAGGCCATGTTTACCATCAAATTGGTATGAAAAATAATAAAGCACATAGCTATGACTATACTTCATTCTTTGAAGAGAATGTGACTTGTGATAAATATTGAGAATGCAGACCCATTCATGAATGTGAATATGAAAATATGTGATAAAAGTAATGAATAAAGACATACAATGCATGATTGGATGAATACCCCACAACTCTCAACTCACCTCTAAGGGAGGTTTGAGTGAAATAAAGAGAATAAATATTATTGTGTGGTTACATGAATATATCCTTGGTCACGTACATGTGATACGCCAAAAATATCTTGGCATGCGTTATAAAAGTTATTAAAGGCAAAATTAAAGCAAGAAATGATTTTGCATATGATGATTTGACCATGACAATAATTATTATATGATTTTCTCCGTAAAGGATATATTCACCATATGGATAGTGTGACAAAAGATCTTATAGTACAAAATCAATTAAGAGCTCCGGAAGAGCTAATTTGTTACTACCCGATGGGTAAAATTATTCATGACATTAATTGTAGTAAGTCTCAAAATAAACTTTTTGAGTTTCAAATGTACAAGCCATAGTGATTGGCATATTGAGACAATAAATGAAAGAAATATTGAATATCTTCAAATTACTATAATTCATATCGGGTAAATATAAAATGTTACCCGACTTTTCTTCTATTTGTACTACACAAGTATAAGCATGATGATGGAATCACATGTCACAAGTAAACTAGAGGTTTACTGAAACAAATATTAGTAGGCATGACCGGTTGGCCATCCCGGTTCAATTATGATGCGAAATATTAATTGAGAATTACATTGGCATATATTGAAGAAATAGAAGATTCTTTAAGAATTCACTTGTGCTGCTTATTCTCATGATATATCAGTTAAGGTTGGGAATGAATCCCTTGATTTCTGGAACGAATAAAAGGTGATAAATATATGGATCCAGTCACCTGACATGTGGACCGTTTACTATTATATGATTTTAATAGATGTATCTATTCTATGGTCACATGTGCATTTGTTATCAACTTGCAGTTTGGTTTTTGCAAGGTTACTTGCTCAAATTATTAGAGTATAGTTCCAGAATATAAATTATGATGATTTATCTTGATAATGTTGGTTTAAATCCAAGTTAGTTTAGCAGAAATTGTATGCCTCCAATTACAGCTAAATCATTGGTTATGAGAACAAAATTGCCAAAATAAAATTTGGTATGCGATATATTATTTAATATAGAATAATACTTGTACGCATCTAGCCAAGTTATGATACGTTCTCCCTATCATAATTGGTTCACGGTCAAGAACCGAATAATTTTCATCTAGAAATATGAATGTGCTATAAGAATTAATTGTTCCACCACAATGCACAAAAATGGGTATCCAAAGAAGGTTGAGGATATGTGTAGGTGATCCCAACATTAGGGGAGAATATGGACAGCTTAAAAAAATAATACATGGAATGAATTATTATGAGTACACCTAGATCCTCGTATAAGAAAATGTGCACTTGAAGTTCAAGTGATAATTCATTTATATTGCTAGTTGTATTTGCTGACCCAAAGCTAAATGTTATATTTCAATTGTTAATGCTTCAAATAAAATAAAGTCCATAAGGGACAGAGTCTATAGCACGCAGGAAGCTTAATAGACCAATCGGTTCCAAAGATAAAACTCCTTGAAGAAGGAGAGCAGAAAATGTTCAAGATGGTCATAATAAGGAGGCAAGTGCTCTAGAAGAGCACCATGACATAACACTTCATAAGACCTCACGGGAGAGACTCAGGTACCTGTAAATAATGAGATCTCGATAAGTTTTGTCTTTATTGAGTGATGATAGAACCGATGCAAAATGATCGTCGATGATGTTGTTAATATAATGTAGCGCTCGATATTATTAATATTGACGAGGATCTTGAGCTCAAATCTGTCATGAAATTTAGACGGATAAATGATTGACCACATAAAAAATACGCAATGAAAATTGACTTCACCTGAAAAATGTGAAGTTCGACGGATAGTCCCAACACCTGAAAGTATAAAGCCATTGGGGGTATAAATGTGTTCTTGTGCGAAAAAAGTCAAGTTGATAGACATAAAGACGACTTGTGTCACAAGAAGATTTGTAAAGATCCTGCATTGATTATATAGAGACATGTTCTCCTATGGTGGATGTAGTCATTTCAAATTTTAATCTGGCAACACATGAAAAACTTGATATGCGTATAATGGAAATCATTGAAGGATTTAAATTGTTCTGAAGCATATTAAGGTTTTCAAGAAATTTATTAAATAAAGCTTCAACAAATTCTTATGTGGATTAGAGCAGTCGTGACGTACATAATTTGTTTTTGTATCTATTGTAATTGGTATACTAATGTATCTTGCTAGGACCATGAGTATACAATATGCTAGTGAGATACAATTTTATTCATATATGAAGATATTGGAATATTAGGAATCATTGATATAGATTTGTTTATTCTAAAAAATATTGTCAAGGTTTTGTTGGTTATGCAAATGCAGGTATTTTCTGAAGTTCATTCTTCAAACAATCTATTTATATATGAGGGCACTGCCATATTATACTTTCACAAGACTGTCAATTATTGGTTCAAGTCATGCCAAGATATTAACAATTGATAAAACAAGTACCTCAATACACAATAGATGTGTGGCAATTGGCCTACAAATTGAACATGTAACAAATGGATTTTTTCCCCCATCAATCAACATACACTGAAAAGGTTTTAAAGTGATTTTATATGGATAATGCACATCTATTTAGTACCCCCAATGGTTGTGAGATCGCTTGACATAAATAAAGATCCATTTCGGCCTCAAGAAAATGATCAAGAGCTCGTTGGTGATGAAACTCTATATCTTAGTGCAATTGGGGCATTGATGTATCTTG